GTTATCCCAGAGTCTGTACTAAGTATCGGGAGTTTACATGTCACAATTGATTGGTTATACCAAGAGTCTGTTCTAAGTATTAGGAGCTTACATGTCACAATTGATTCGTTATACCAGAGTCTGTACCAAGTATTAGGCGTGTACTCGTCACAGTTTATTCCTTATACCAGAATCTGTACTAAGTATAACGAGTTTACATGTCACAATTGATTCCTTATAGCAGAATCTGTTCTAAGTATCAGGCGTGTACTCGTCACAATTGATTCCTTATAGCAGAATCTGTTCTAAGTATCAGGCGTGTACTCGTCACAGTTGATTCGTTATACCCAGAGCCTGTACTAAGTATCAGGAGCTTACATGTCACAGTTGATTCACTATACCAGTGTCTGTACTAAGTATCAGGAGTTTAGACGTCACAGTTGATTCGTTATACCAGAGTCTGTACTAAGTATCAGGAGTTTACACGTCACAGTTGATTCGTTATACCAGTTTCTACCATAAGTAGGTATTTCTTCACCAGGTCTTCTGTCACAAGTAAAAAAAAAAATCCTATATGTAACGAAGACATAATTATGTATGTCCGATATGGAGCAGGAATCTCGTATCCGTTCGGAACAACAGGTTTTGTCATGCGGTTTTCTCGTTGTTGCGCCTTTCCTCTCCTCCGTTTCTGTTGCTGTTAATTTGTTTTGTTGTATCGTCATTTCATCGATGTAAGAATACTCTGTTTGCTTTAAACAGGTATGGAATCCTTTGTTTTCGGAAAATGTAGTCCCATTTCATTAGCATTTCTAAAATATGTTATAAGATGTCAGACTGCTTCATTAGATACATTTGACTGAGTAATGTTTCCTATTCATATAAAGCTCTTTGTCTTCTTGACGGTTTGAACAGTTTCCATCTTTTATATTTGCTAACGTAATAATCGACCGTGTCGAGAATTAAACTGGTAGCAAGACCTTTCTCTCACAGAAGATGAAGTCTATTTCTTAAAACCAACAGTTAAGGCACTGCGTTTCGAGTTATACAAACTTAAACTTTACCAATGTTTAATTAATAGTTTTTGAGTACGTTGTGTTTTGAGTATAATGACTACTGTCAGGAGTGATGCTTGTCATGAAATTGATAAAAAAAAATCAGATACTTTGTCATAAATCTTTTATGTCGTCTTATGAGAATTGGGTAAAAGTCGGAAATATTAAGGATCCCCGTCCCACTATAAAACTGTACCTCAGTTATAGCTTTGATAAACCATTGCTGAAAAGAAAACCGTACCTTGCGGGACTTGTATGAGAAATCAAATATATAATCAACAACAGGTTTCTGGGTATAAAAATTCAACGGGGCTAGATTGGGTTTGGAACCCTAATTTTTAGATTGTTATACCATCGCTCTAACCGATTGAGCTGCAGTGTGTTGTACCTGGTCATCGGAATCGCGCTGGCCGAACTGTGATACCGTTGTCTCTAAACGGAAGTTAAGGAAGGTTACTGTTTGTAGGGGAAACCACAGTATAGCGAGGCAGGGATTCTTAAATGTCAAAGTCAACCGTACATGTATATTCAAACTTTTTAAAGCGGAGTCAAACAATGCACGTTGCTCTGAGCGTTGTATTGTTTATTCAACTTGAAGCCTTACGGCTCATAAGCATACACAGCAACGTATAATTGCTCTGAGCGTTAAATGCAAATAACAAAAATATCAATAATACATTAGACAAATCATAAATTGTCCTAAAGTTGTTTATTGTTTAAACGTTCAAACTGATATCGATGATCCTGACCGCTATAGTCCCCACAGTTAGGAGTTCTTTTCTGTAAATACAAATTACAAAAATAACAATGTATCAATTGGTAATCTTTATCTTAATACAATTTATCTTGATGTACTTTATCTTAATATACTTCATCAGGATATACTTTATCTAAATATACATGCACTTCATCAGGATATATTTTATCTTAATATAGTTCACCAGGATATACTTTATCTTAATATACTTCATCGGGATATACTTTATCTTAATATACTTCATCAGGATATACTTTGTCTAAATATACATGAACTTTATCAGGAAATATTTTATCTTAATATACTTCATCAGGATATACTTTATCTTAATATACTTAATCAAGATATACTTAATCTTAATATACTTCATCAGGATATTCTTTATCTTAATATAATTCATCAGGAAATATTTTATCTTAATATACTTTATCAGGATATTCTTTATCTTAATATAATTCATCAGCGTATACTTTATCTTAATATACTTCATCAGGAAATATTTTATCTTAATATACTCCATCAGGAAATATTTTATCTTAATATACTTTATCAGGATATTCTTTATCTTAATATAATTCATCAGCGTATACTTTATCTTAATATAATTCATCGGGCTTTTTTGTTATCATTGTTTCAACTTAGTTGCTTATATCACATCATTCATCAGGAAATATTTTATCTTAATATACTCCATCAGGAAATATTTTATCTTACTATAATTCATCAGGATATACTTTATCTCAATATAATTTATCAGGATATACTTTATCTTAATATAGTTCATCAGGATATATTGCATTCATTTTTAACATAATATACTTCACCGTTACATACTTTATCTTAATGGTATCATCATTTTTCATTATGTACATTATCTAAATAGACTTTCAACATAATAGGAATCCGTTCCGTCATAACATGACTTATTAGATACATTTGTTCATCTCCTCTTTCATTCTTTTTATATATTCGTATTACAATTAGTCTTTATACAAAAAAAAACGTACCAAGAAATTATTGTTTCTCACTAAATAGAAATACCACTGGTACTGCAATTCAAAAACATACTTTGCATTCATGAATCTTCCTTATAGAACTAATACAGAAAATTGAACTGTTTTCTTGATCTAACTTTATTGTAAAACGTTATTTAATGGAAAAATGCAAACAAAGTTCTCTGGTTACTAGAATTATCATTGATTAGTTTCAAGAAAATCAATACATGTACATATAATGTAAATTTATAACTTGATTTTTCGCAAATTCAAAACATCAGTTATTTGTTTTTTTGAATTTGTTGGTATCATTCAGGAAGTCCACATAGGAGTTAAGGCTACTTTAGTGATTATGGAATATTGTCATATCGTTAAGTTATGTACAGCGTACGTATTGTTCTTTGGCATGGTGGTATAATTTGTCCTTTATTACTCATTTTGTATAAATATCTCGAATATTTTTAAATAAAAATATTGAACATATTAATTTTATTATAAATGGTTAGGTCATATCAATTCTAGAACGAACATTTACTGGCAAACAAGACTAATTAACAATAAGCTATTCCATTGGCAAATACCATCAATCCATAGATTTAGGACAATTGTATTAAATGTCGTATTCTTTTTATATATGGTTGGTTGTGCAGGGCTTAACGTCCTATCAGACACATACCAAAGGTAAGTTTTTCCAACTTATCAATTGACTTCTCCCGTAGATTTGTCTGTATTACGGGAGAAGTCAATTGATAAGTTGGAAAAACTTACCGACTAATCCCTTTGTCAATATGTTGTCAATAAAATATGTTTAAACTAAACTAAAGGTGTAATGATATAGTGATATACAGGGCACAAGAGAATCAAATGATAGTATCCTTGAAATGCAAACTATTTCCCCGAGTCTGAGGGAGATAGTTTGTCTTGAAGGAACCTATTTCCCAGTCTGTAACTGTGTTTATTGTATACGACTGTAGATGTAAACCTAACAAACACTGTTTTGATGAGTTGACCTTCCCGTCGCTATATATTGTAAACTCGTGTCGTTCGCCTCGGGAATTGATCGGAAGTAGACCTGTTTCAGAGGAACCAGATACTGGAATATATATATCGAAATACCGTTACGAACCGCTCAGACCGTTTAAAGCCATAAGTTCTGAAAACTTATGAAGATCCGCTCTGTCCACATTTCACTCTTGGCTAAATCCAGGTGGGGTTATTACATGATGTGTACGGGTTGGTCAGCATCTCATTTTACCGTAATGTTTTTATAGTTTTGTATTGACAGGGAAATAGTCCTGAAACTATAGCCCTGTGCAATGAGCAATATCCTTGGGACATATGATGTACTCTACCACTACCATAATAAAAATAGTGTGAATGCATGTTCAACAAAGACAGTCATTTCTGTTGCAAATAAAGATTACTGTTAGCGTCTATCCGTTGATTTAAGATAATAACGTGTGTAGTGTAATTATATATAGAGACAAAAGCATATACAAAAAAACGTCTTATTTCGTTAAAGTTGGTATTACAGACTCGTTATCGGGTTACAGTACAACGACGTAAACAAATCAAACGTTATTATGACATCATCATATATAACATTCTGTTAATAAAATCCACGCCTAGCACTTCATACGTATCCCCCCCGTGTATGTACGAAAATATAACTGAAGTTTACATGATCGATCATAGTACGAAATGTACCACATTCGGTTGGTATAGACTATTGTTGTATGGTAGACAATAGGATTGAAATATTATTATCGTTTCATATAAAAGTCCCACAAGGTATGGTTTTCTTTTCAGAAATAATTTATCAAAACTATCGTATTGCCTGGAAAAAACCTTTTCGATATTTAGTTTAGTTTTTGGCAATGATTCGGGGATCCTTAATATTGTAACGAATCTTGTATCATAAGTGTGTATGGTAACATGTTTTACCTACATGTGCCTTACTGTGTAGCTGATCAGTTTAATCTTGTACCATTGAACAGAAAGAACGCTGCTAAATATTCACACTGAAGCACGCGACTGAGTTATTTTTGTCGAGAAAAAAACACCTCAGTCGCTCATACAAGTGAAACGAGACTAGTTGTGTAACAGGAAGCTTTGCACCGGCCATGTCAACAAGTGACTGTTTCTGATGTGAGTACATGTAGTTTATCAACCGAGTTAAGATTCCACAGCAACGAACACTTCAGAGACTCTCACCTGCCAGCACGTGGAGTGTGTATAGCGGACGTCACACAGACGCCAATGATATCGGAATACGCGATCTGAAATTGAAACGTTTGGCTCCTTATTTACATCTGTGTTTTACTTCCACTGGAGTGTTGATTTAAACAATTCCGTGTTGGTACAGAAAACTTATCGTCGATTACAAGGATAATCGAAGTTTAACTTTATGAAACAAATAAAAGAAGCAATTCCAAAAACAATTACATGTTTAATATATTGAATGTATGTTTAAATAGGAATTAAAATATATACAAATAAACTATATAAGAATATAAAACAACGAAGATATATGAGAGTTGTCTCCCCTAGTTTGCAGAACTATCATTGACAATTATGCTTCAACAGATTTCCCCTGGAGTCCAAGCATGAAATAAATAATCAATAAATAAAATGATTGCCATGTGCTAGTTCAGTTCAAACAGTATGAGGGAAGGACATACAAAAATAAAACAGAGTTTACAGATTCCACAAAAAAAAGACACAAACACGAAGGGTGGCGAAATCCTCGCTCCACGACGTCTCTATTTACATTTAATACTGTATCGGTAGGGGTTGTCCTCAAATACGAGCTCAGATTAGTTTTTGTAGCGATATATAAATATATAACATAACAACTGGATGTATGTCAAACTTCTATATAGATAAATTCGGGGTACACGCAGCATGGCTGGATAGCCCCGGGGACGGGCAGATAGAAATGAAACACGAGGAGATATATAGGACTCCGGGGGAAATCGGAGTACGTTTTGTGATTGTTCATAAATAAGCACGAATCATAAAATGGGTCTCAGCAAGGATCAGTAGGAGTAGTGGTTCTGTTTACGTTCTAGGGGCGTTTCCGATCCCAAGCACGGTCTTGTAGGATCCGATACCGTATCTGCCAACTGTAAAATAACACGTGTAAAACAAGTTGTAGGTATAGATAAACAGTAGACGTTATAATGTGGAAGCGCGTATATCACCGGACAAGGAATAGTCACGTGTGGGGGTAGGCATATTACATCATTACACCTTGTCGTAGATATAGATTTTATCGTTAATAAAACGAGACTTTTCACTTGGATCTACATACTTTAAGTACTCAAAACATCACCTAGGACACACGATAAGCTGCTACAATACGCAAACAGCAATTCTCGATGTCTGAATTGTGAAAAAATACTACAATAAAGCCATTTAATTATGTTAAGGAAATAGGCCATGTTGCCATTATATATAACAAAAATGTTGAAAATGAATATTTAACGAAGGCCGCTCCGCCTTAATTAATATTGTTTTCAACATTAACAACTCATCCCGAGTTATACATTCCACCATAATATACAAACATATGTTGATTATATCTATTCTACCACATTAAATGTATTTGAATAATGTCAATTCAAATTATGTTGTGATTTTGAGAAACATTTTCCTCGTTTTCATTTCACACAGCTAATGTAATATCGACATACGGTAATGAACTTGACATACATGTGGATTTGCACACCAAGTGTTATTTGTATATACATGGAGGTGGTTTCTATAGTTAGTGTTTTAGTTTTTATCACAACGATGTTAATACATACATTTTGTGGGCTTTGGTCGGTCGATCAACCAGTACCGGAAACCATCTCGGGCTCTCTCATTAAAAGTCGTTCTTGATGACTTTCGACTAAAGTCCATCCGGGGTCTCTGGTTGATAGCTTGTGTTGGTAGTTCTGCGTCTAAGCCATGTAAAATCATATCATCTATAGATCGCATAGGCATTCTTGTGACACAGTCGTTTTCAAACCTAACCCTGGTGCTCTGAGCTTTCCGCACGGTCGCTAAGTCTGAAAAATAATGTGCGGTTTTCGTGTGACATTTTCAGTCTCACATCTTTGGGTATATGTTATAGTTTATTTGTAAACATTAAGCCCGTTACAGGTTATATCAAAGGCATGCCGATATCGTCTCGCAACAAAAGCGGAAAGCATCGGGATTAATAGCATCAGCTCATGAGCACATGGGTTAGGTTGTACAGTTTCACAATACACAGCACTTATATATATTTACACATGTTTATATATATGTGGTTAAGCTTTGATTTCCTACGACATCTGTTACGGATTCTGTATTGTCAATTCAAGTGGTATGATATCATGGTTAAGCTGTTAGAAATAAGCCCACAAACAATCAGAACATCTACATACAAACACATAGACACCCTCAATCATGACATGAAGACCCTAAATGTGATCACATGGTGAGATTTCTTTGTGTGAGGCTGCTCACACACTGCTCCGATTGTGTTTGATTATATGTATGTCAGCATCCTGAATTCGAAACCAACCAGTTGAATTATTTGTTTTGAGCCCTTTTCAAAAGAAGGGTTCTATAAAAACACATGTTGCCATGCATTTTACAGAATAATAGATTTTCGAAATTTGAATTCTTGAAAATAGATATAAAAAAGAAAACACAAACACAGTAGGGGTCGAACTCCGAACCTTGATTTTAAAAAATGCCTGTGCTTTATTAACTTTGCCATCTAGAAATCATAACTGCAAAGCATATAAGATAAGTCAAAATTATTGGATGCAAAACCCATGAAAAACTTGACAAGGAAGTAAATCTAAGCCAGAAAACACCCTTTGGATTGCTTCATCTTTTATAGATAAGGGAGAATACTCCAAGACGAAAACAACTCCTAGTGGAACTTTTCTTCGCGAGTAAAACTGATGTAGAGGTACCCCGTACCTTACTCCACTGGGAGTAATTTCCTAAACATATGATATACAAGTGCTGTATCAAAAATAACAATAACCTATTCTCATTACGAAGTGTTATACCTCGCGGCGTGTTATGGCTCACTTATGATGTTTGTTAAGTTACTTACTTCGATTTAGTAGTAAATGTTACTCAGCAGCATATATGCATATATAAGACAGTTGAATGTACCACACCTCTAAGTTAACAAGATGTTACAATGTATCTATACCAGGCCCCTAAGTGGACGAGACATTATCGAAACCACAGGGACATGGAAAGCTGTTACAGCTATATTTAGACCTAAATGATCTAAAACCTAAAAACGTGCACACCTTGTTCATAGTAATTTTACACGTTTTTAGGGTTTAGATCAATGTTCGGTAAATGATGATAGATATATACCTGTAACAAATGCTCAGGTCCTGTGGTCGAAACTGCATGCTAAGTCGACTATACTTGTTAAATTTACCACCCATAAAACGACGAACCGTTTCTGTGTTTCAGACTAATTTATCTGGCGGCATGGTCAGTTTGTTTTGTCTATTCACTTTATCAATACTTGAGTGACAAAAATGACAACTCTGGAGAAGTTATCGTGAGGCGACAGGTCGAGGGTCCATACGATACAGTGGATGCATTCCCGTTACGCAAAAAAAATGATATCTGTTCCTCTCATGTTTGGAGCATGAAATACACGAGCAAACACCTGCTGTCATTTCTGATGCGCTTTTCGGGACACTTCGTGGTTTAACCAGAGACAAACGGCAAAGCCGAACATCTATAAAGGCATCTGTAGCCATGCATTGTGGTCAGATGAAATTGACAGGTCGTCATAGTAACGTAATGGCTACCACTAAATCTCTACAGTCTATGGTTTGTTACTATTGATAGTATCTGTGGTTTACTGTTAACGTAATTAGGAAGCGAGACACTCGACAAGCTAGTCTAGATCTACATACAGATAACAACTGCACAAAACTCAGGGCCTTATTTACATAATACAGAGCAGTGTACGCGGTATTTAACACGATGTATCGATATAATTGATAAACAATAAATACATTGTTTGAGAGGACAGTCGATGTGATGGTGCCAATTTTGGTATCGTATAAACACACCCACTGAACAGATGGTACGTGTCAACAGGTGTCAGTCACCAATAGGGAACTGCATAGTCTGGTTTCAAAATTGTGCAGTTTTCTTTTCTTTTCCTTTTCCTTTATCTCCAATATTTAACACGTAAGTAAGATTCTAGTTATTTACCAAGGAATCTGTAATGTCACGTGACCGGATTTACTAGCACTTATCACAGGGATCTGATAATTTGTAAAAACTATATTCGGACCTAAGCTAAGGTGTTCTCTCAATTCGCAGGTCCCTGTGGCACTTGCGACTGCTATCACAGGAGGTAGCATGTGGCTAGTTACCAAAATCCTTACGTCAATGAATGACTAGCTGTGTTCCGTCTTAAAGACCTTTGCCAGACTGGAGGAGATGAACAAAATAGTTTGGCATACACTTCACTGACTGACACATCAGGTGCCAAAAGATGGCGTGTGGCAACTAACTGGCCGCCTGGGGTGGTCACTGATCAATATCTGTTAACCCAGGGTGACAACTAACCGGTCGTCTGGTAGTCACTGATATCTGTAAACCCAGGGTGATAACTAACCGGTCGTCTGGTAGTTACTGATATCTGTTAACTCAATGTGACAACTAACCGGTCGTCTGGTATTTACTGATATCTGTAAACTCAGGGTGACAACTAACCGGCCGTCTGGTAGTCACTGATATCTGTAAACCCAGGGTGACAACTAACCGGTCGTCTGGGAGTCACTGATATCTGTAAACTCAGGATGGCAACTAACCGGCCGTCTGGTAGTCACTGATATCTGTAAACCGAGGGTGACAACTAACCGGTCGTCTGGTAGTTACTGATATCTGTAAACTCAGGGTGACAACTAACCGGTCGTCTGGTAGTCACTGATATCTGTAAACTCAGTTTGATAACTAACCGGTCGTCTGGTAGTCACTGATATCTGTTTACTCAGTGGAACAACTAACCGGTCGTATGTCAGTCACTGATATCTGTTAACTCAATGTGACAACTAACCGGTCGTCTGGTAGTCACTGATATCTGTAAACTCAGGGTGACAACTAACCGGTCGTCTGGTAGTCACTGATATCTGT